TAAAATTAAGGTACATGTATTGTCCTCAGTAATGAAAGCACTCTGTTTGGTAAACTTTAAAAAAAGCTTCATAGTATGTTTTCAAATGAAAGAAAAAGTAATTTCTGTGTATGTATACCTGGACAAACGACGTGTGTGACACGTGATGGCTTGTTGTTGTTTACGGGGAGGGTTACTGATCCAAATCGATGCGTGGTGATCTTCAATCTGTTCGCTGAAATTTTTCCTTCTCGAAAATAAAGCACTTAGCCGTGGAAAATTGAATATTTATTTGAAAAGCATATTATATTACTTGACGCATAGGATACTACAAATAATTAACAAAGTGCACTTAGCATGCTTAGCAACTGTCATCAAATACTATAATTTTCTCCCTCGTTTCACTCCTCCAAAAATAAATGGCATTATCCTGTTATTGACTTCGCGAAGTCAATAAGTTTGACGTTGTTGACGTTAACGTCAAATTCTTACCTTTGGGTTCTTATGTGATTTTACACTTTTCCCCGATGTAAGAATTGCCTAAATATAGGCAATAACTACATAAGACAATGATGACCTGTTTGCTTTTAAATTTATTTCACCTTAATTTAATGGCTTTATTCCGTTTATTCCTTTTGGCGGCATATTTTGGAGAAATACATAAACGGAATAAACCAAATTATGATATATTGTACTTTAATTTTATGGCTTTATTCCGTTTATTCCTTTTGGCGACATATTTGGAAAAATGCATAAACGGAATAAACCAAATTATGATATATTGTACTTTAATTTTATGGCTTTATTCCGTTTATTCCTTTTGGCGACATATTTTGGAAAAATGCATAAACGGAATAAACCAAATTATGATTTCTTGCACCTTACTTTTATGGCTTTATTCCGTTTATTCCTTATGGCGACATATTTTGGACAAATACACAAACGGAATAAACCAAATTATGATTTCTTGTACTTTAATTTTATGGCTTTATTCCGTTTATTCCTTATGGCGACATATTTTGGACAAATACACAAACAGAATAAACCAAATTATGATTTCTTGTACTTTAATTTTATGGCTTTATTCCGTTTATTCCTTATGGCGACATATTTTGGAGAAATGCATAAACCGAATAAACCAAATTATGATTTCTGGTACTTTAATTTTATGACTTTATTTCGTTTATTTCTTATGGCGACATATTTCGGAGAAATACATAAACAGAATAAACCAAATTATGATTTCTTGTACTTTAATATTATGGCTTTATTTCGTTTATTTCTTATGGCGACATATTTTGGAGAAATGCATAAACGGAATAAACCAAATTATGATTTCTTGTACTTTATTTTTATGGCTTTATTCCGTTTATTCTCTATAATAATAATGCATAAACGGAATAAACCAAATTATGAATTCTTGCACCTTACTTTTATGACTTTATTCCGTTTATTCCTTATAGTAATAATGCATAAATGGAACAAATCAAATTAGTTCTGGGCTTTACTTGCGTCGCTGTTTACTCCTGTTATTTGATTCGCTTTTCATTTAAACGTGCATTTTTAAGAATGACCACCCCCAAAAAAACCAAGCCCCATTTTTATTTTATCTCTCCCCTAAAGAAACCCTTTTCCCGGAGAAATCTTCCCCTTCTTGTACCTTTTAGAATGATATCCGTCTCTCTCTATATACTCCTGTTATTTGATACGCTTTCAGTGAAATACATACACTTTAAATAGTACCTCCGTCTCTCTATATATACGCCTGTTATTTGATTCGCGAATCAAATTAGTTCTGGGCTTTACTTGCGTCGCTATTTACTCCTGTTATTTGATTCGCTTTTCATTAAAACGTGCATTTTTAAGAATGATCCCCTCCAAAAAACCAAGCCCCATTTTTATTTTATCTCTCCCCCAAAGAAACCCTTTTCCCGGAGAAATCTTCCCCTTCTTGTACCTTTTAGAATGATATCCGTCTCTCTATATATACTCCTGTTATTTGATTCGCTTTCAGTGAAATACATACACTTTAATTAGTACCTCCGTCTCTCTATATATACTCCTGTTATTTGATTCGCGAATCAAATCAGTTCTGGGCTTTACTTGCGTCGCTATTTACTCCTGTTATTTGATTCGCTTTTCATTTAAACGTGCATTTTTAAGAATGATCCCCCCAAAAAAACCAAGCCCCATTTTTATTTTATCTCTCCCCCAAGGAAACCCTTTTCCCGGAGAAATCTTCCCCTTCTTGTACCTTTTAGAATGATATCCGTCTCTCTATATATACTCCTGTTATTTGATACGCTTTCAGTGACTTAAGGAATAACTGTCTTATTTTTCGAATTCATGAAGTGATCAATGGATTGGCTTGTGTGATAATTTGCATAAACGCCGAAGGCGTTTATGCATAAAATTATCACACAAGCCAATCCATTGATCATCTTCATGAATTCGAAAAATAAGACAGTTATTCCTTATATTTACATATGCTTTGATTCCGCCAATCCACGGGCTCCAAGCCTGCTTCTCTCTAGGTGTTGTCCCGCCCTGCACGTGGTTTTTTTGGAACCGCGCCAAAACATTCATGAGGAAATCAATTACATTTACAATTGGTAATTTTATCTCGGACAAAGACATTGGAAATGTAAATATATACATATACTTTAAATAGTACCTCCGTCTCTCTATATATACTCCTGTTATTTGATTCGCGAATCAAATTAGTTCTGGGCTTTACTTGCGTCGCTATTTACTCCTGTTATTTGATTCGCTTTTCATTTAAACGTGCATTTTTAAGAATGATCCCCCCCAAAAAAAACCAAGCCCCATTTTTATTTTATCTCTCCCCCAAAGAAACCCTTTTCCCGGGGAAATCTTCCCCTTCTTGTACCTTTTAGAATGATATCCGTCTCTCTATATATATACTCCTGTTATTTGATTCGCGAATCAAATTAGTTCTAGGCTTACTTGCGTCGCTATTTAATCCTGTTATTTGATTCGCTTTTCATTAAAACTTGCATTTTTAAGAATGATCCCCCCCAAAAAACCAAGCCCCATTTTATTTTATCTCTCCCCCAAAGAAACCCTTTTCCCGGGGAAACCTTCCCTTTCTTGTACCTTTTAGAATGATATCCGTCTCTCTATATATACTCCTGTTATTTGATTCGCTTTCAGTGAAATACATACACTTTAAATAGTACCTCCGTCTCTCTATATATACTCCTGTTATTTGATTCACGAATCAAATAAGTTCTGGGCTTTACTTGCGTCGCTATTTACTCCTGTTATTTGATTCGCTTTTCATTAAAACGTGCATTTTTAAGAATGATCCCCCCCAAAAAAACCAAGCCCCATTTTTATTTTATCTCTCCCCAAAAGAAACCCTTTTCCCGGAGAAATATTCCCCTTCTTGTACCTTTTAGAATGATATCCGTCTCTCTATATATACTCCTGTTATTTGATTCGCTTTCAGTGAAATACATAAACTTTAAATAGTACCTCCGTCTCTCTATATATACTCCTGTTATTTGATTCGCGAATCAAATTAGTTCTGGGCTTTACTTGCGTTGCTATTTACTCCCGTTATTTGATTCGCTTCATGGTGAAATACAAAGGCTTTAAATACCCTTGTCGAACGATATATACTCCTGTTATTTGATTCACTTCAGTGGGTAAAATAGTTGTAAACAATGTGAACATTACGAACCCAGCATTGAAACTGTTATAAGCGATATGAAAATCTGAGAATGTTGGAAGTATAAAAATGACCTGGGATGAATTTGACGTTAACGTCAACAACGTCAAACTTATTGACTTCGCGAAGTCAATAACAGGATAATGCCAAATAAATATTTTCTTGACTAATTTATTGAAAAACAAAGAAAAAGAATATACACACTGTACCGTAGGATTGTTGCGTTCGTTACAAATCCCCGGTAAATGTATTTATAGTGAGCACAAAATCGCTCGTGCATGAAAAACCAGGTTTCTTTAGATACGAAATTTCACGAAGAATACCGAAGTAAAAACGCAAATAAAACATGTATGGCAAAAAAAAGGGAGAAATGTCTTTTTTTTAGTTGACATATGCAATAGTCAGAAATTGACTTTTCAGACTAAATGTCTTTAGATAAACATTCGAAAGCTGTATATACACGTTTCTTGAAAAAGAGGAATAAGAAAGAGAATAATTGATGTACAAAGAGCTAGCACAGTTTAAATCTATGTAATTTCTTCCCTCAAAATTTCCCTTTACAGAACATTAGGAATGAATTAAGTTATTCATACCAATGAAATTACAGATATTCCTTTGAAAAATAGAGTCAACTTTGTTAAAAAAAAAATCACCCCCCCCAAATATATATATCCCCCCTCCCTTAAAAAAGAGGCGGCGACAATGTTATGTCAAAAAGTAGGTCAAGTGTGTGTATTGTGACTTATGGGCCCCTATTCTCTAGAACTGCTAGAAAAAGTCTTTTCCAGACCAATGTTACCTAGCTTGAGGAGGGCCCTGTCATGCCCTGGACTACAAGAAGTGGCTACTGTGTGGAATGGCAGGAGAAGTTACCATGACCACAAGCTTAGTCAGCAACCTCGGTCTGACGTACACATTGTGGACCTCCGGAGTGACACAGTCACCAAGCCTTCCCCGGGAATGAGGAATGCCATGGCAACTGCTGAAGTCGGGGATGATGTCATGGGGGAGGATCCAACACTTAATGGTGTGTGTTTCATGCAGTTGATTTTTTTCGGTACAGTATGTATAAATGTGAAGAGTACCAATTTTGCTTTAAAAACATGTTTGTTTTCAGCTCTACAGGACAGAGTTGCCAGACTGTTTGACAAGGAGGCAGCATTGTTTGTTCCTACTGGTACAATGGGAAACCTTGCTTCAGGTTTGTACTTATAGCAGCTAATGCTTTATTGTGATGTCACTAGCATGTTGCTGTCCCCATTATTAGGGAGTTTACATTCTGTTGAATAAATAGATGTCCAGTAATTCAAAATTCTTTTTTTTTCAGTTCTGACCCACTGTCCAGAGAGAGGCTTGGAAATTATCCTGGGTCATAAAAGTCACATTTTTGTTCACGAACAAGGAAATGTAGCACAGGTAAGTAGGGTTTCTTTATATTTTGATTATTTGGATTTTCAATTTTTTTTCTTCAGTCATACTAAAGTGATACATGTAATTTTAACCACTGGAAAATAAGCATTTGATAAAATAAAGACCTTGTCAAAATATGCTTGCAATTGTGAAGAGGGATGCTCTAAATGTTCTTTCTTTTCCTTATCTTTTTAAAGAGAGCAAATATCTTGCTCAAGCTAAAATATTACAGCTTTACACTTAAATGATTATGTGATTTTATTTCTAAGTCATGTGATTTATATAGACATTTCTTTCACCTTGTTGATTGGTAGTTTGGTGGGTTGCTGACCTCTGTGGTAGAGAACAATGAGGATGGGACGATGGACCTGGACAAGATCAGGGAGAGGATCAGAGTTAGTGACGACCCCCACTTCCCCTACACCCGGCTCATCTGTGTAGAAAACACGCATAATTACTGTGGAGGGAAAGTCATACCGGTGTCTTACATGAAAAAGGTTGGTCTTCAATGTCTTGAAACCTTTAAGTTAGTTTATTTGAATGTGTTCTGATATAAAGAAGATTTACTAACAAAATAGCAAAATATACCAATACCCAATATACCACTTTTCTGAATCCACAGATTTTCTCCATTTTACTCAAACAGAAAGCACATCAGTGGGTTCTGATGATCCTGTTAACAATTTTTTGAAAAGAAAAGGACCTTTGATATAGCAGTACAATGTTTGAACTGTTTGTTAGGTGTATGAACTAGCTCAGGAATATGGGATGAAGGTTCACCTTGATGGAGCGAGGTTGATGCATGCTGCCACTGCCCTGGGGGTCAATCCAGCGGAGATAACAAGATGTGTAGACTCTGTTAACATGTGCTTCTCCAAGGTCTGCATTATACATCATGCGATTATGGTCTCTTTCGGTAGTAAATGTGGCAATTCATCACAAAAATATCAATATTGACCAAGGCTAAGGGTTTCATTTAGACAGAGCATTTATTTGTGATTTTAACTTTTTTTTTCCTTTATAGGGACTTGGTTGTCCAGTAGGATCAATTATAGCTGGAACAAGTGATTTTATCAAGATGTAAGTGTGGCAGTGTCAGATACATGGCTTCCTACTAGCTGGGGCTAATAGGTTTAACCCTTAAGCTCAACTGATAGAGCACAGGCCTGGGGGCATAAAACTTAGGTGAGCTCACTTTTGATCTCAGTTTCCCTTTTCCACTATTAATTCCTTTGGAAAAAGTGAGACTAAGATCAAAAGTGAGCTCGTTTAAGTTTTATGGCCACAAGGCCTGGACTGGCAAGTTAGAGATCCCGGGTCCAATCCCCAACAGAGGCACAAAATTGTCTCTGTTACATTTGGCGCCCACGTTGGGACCCGGATGTTCTCTGGTGGGTGACAGTGATTGCCGCCAGAACTTAGCCCCGCAAGCGTCGGCACTCTGAAAGAGATGAGGACATATTCTCTGGAGGGAGACAATGTGGCAGTTTCAGAAAAAAAAAAAGAAAAAAATATGTAGAATTTTTGAAGATGTGTATGACTTTTATTTCAACCAAACAAATTTATAAAGTTGATTAGGTTTCTATTTGAATTGTAGAGCCAAGAGGAGAAGGAAGGCCCTGGGAGGGGGGATGCGTCAGGCAGGGGTTCTAGCAGCAGCTGCCATGTACTCACTGGACCATGTCCTCCCCAAACTCTCAGAGGACCACAGCAAGACTCAACAGATTACAAATGGTGGGGATTTAATTCAAACTGAAAGATATTTATCCAATTATCCAAATTTTATTTAAATTTTCAAAGGGTCTTCTAAGTGTTGTTGAGAATATACATGTACTATTTTGCTTATAAAAGCAAATTAAGTACTGTATATTCAAAAATAAAAAAAATATCAAAGATGCCATTTCTTAGTTTTACATTTGTTCAATACTAATTCTTTTCAATTGTTTTTACAGCCATCATGTCAGCACCACAGACCGTTGTTCATGTAAATCATGAGACAGTCAAAACCAACATCGTCTTTCTGACAGTGACAAAACCTGGTGTTACGGCAACACAGTTGTATGACAGGTTGCTTCAGGTATGATGTATATACAGAACATCTGATTATTTAAGAAATAAAATCAATTCCTACCCAAGTTATACAGTGTAAAGTGGGTTGGGACAGTGTAGCTTTTTAGATCAGGAAGGGTTCTAAAAATGTAAATTGTTTGATCCATTACAGAAACTGTACGATTGTGGAAAAATTATGGATCCATGCTTTATGAAATAGACAGACTTTGTTTTCTTGTTTGATTTTAAGTTTATGATAAATGGCAGTGAATGAAGTTAAAAAGATTCAGATAAGATATTTACAACCCACAACCCACAACCCCCCCCTCTAATCCTGCATCCTGTATTTCCTTCTTGACTGATCTTCTACAAATAAACATCTTTTGAAAATAGAAATATAATTTTTTCTTGTTGCAGGTGACAGATGAAGAGAGGAGACAGCTTGGTGAAGGCATCGTTGTAAAGACAGTTCCATACTCAGACACACTACTGAGGTTTGTCCTCCATTGTGATATTTCCCCAGAGGAAGTCAACAAAGCCATCAGTAAATTCTCCTATGTTCTACAAGAGCTATCCTAATTCAGGATTACTTCAAGTCATTCACAAAATCTGGTGAATTTGCAAGGATTATTGACTTGCTAAGTCTCAGGAAAAATAATCAGTATTTGTCTAGTCTGCAGTTTTAGTAAGTAACTGAAAAGAAAAAAATTAGAACTCTGTGATACATTGCAGTGTTAAAAATAGGGATTTAGCCAGAATACATTTCCGTTTTGATGACTTATTTTTTGAATATACAATGTTTGTGGGTCGACAGTATTTCTGCACTTTTATGTACTGTACAATGTATAATCCTTTACAAATCTATTTTAGATTTAGACAAATATTTTACAGTTCATAAGACTTTGAGATGTTGTTATCATTATTTGAATTATTTGTAATTAACGTATGACGATGACGCTCTTACACAATGGTGCATGCATGATGTGTGGAACTTTTACAGAGATTGAGTATGCAATTGTAAATAAGCATTTTTTTGTTGATTATATTTTTAAAGGTAATGTGTCTTGTGATTCTTTTTTTTTTTGGGGGGGGGGGTGGGGGAGGGGGATGGGTGGGGGTTGTATTATAAGATTCATGAAAAAAAGCTGCAATAGAGTGCCAAAGTGTTACAGGTAATTATCTGTACCTGGATCATTCACTGAACTTTTATCTAGAAGAAGACTGTGGTCTGAACCAGAGAAACCAAGCTTAATCTATGAGTGGTTGTGTGAAATTCAAGTTTTGTCACGGACCTACGTGTACACATGTATATACTAAATTAGTATATAGGTCCCTGGTTTTATTCACAGCATTTAGAATTTTATGCTGGATATGACAATACATGTATATGTCTCACATTGTTTTGTTTGTTTGTTTTTTTTTACAAAAAATAAACTGGATGCTTATTACAATATTAATTGTCTTGTTTTATATACTTATCGCAAATCTCACTTGAATATAAACACTGATTAATCTGACTGAAATACAATTGAATCTTATCGACGCTCAATTGCGAAATCCAAAAAAGAATCTGATTGGTGCTTTTTTATAGGCCCGCCCACTTTCTCAAATGTAAAGCCGAAAATATGGAGTGTTTCCGAGAAAGATAGAAAAGCTGTAGAAAATGGGCAAAGACAATGGTACTTATTGAACTAATTAAGTACTGTAATGGTAATGTCCGCGAAAATTAATCGTCGCGAAGAAGCCTACCCACGGTAAATCGCGAAATAAAGTTGTCGCAAATAAAAGTTGGTTTACAGTATGTTATCAGTCCGTGAGCTCCAACGGCTGACTGCTCTGCGATGGGCCAGTTTGAGTTGCGGTCCACAACCAATGGTTACTGTAATGCTCAGGGATAGCAGTAATTTATAGCTAACCTAATAAGCTCTCAAATAGCGCAGCAGCTCTTTAAATTTGTAAGATATAAAAATTGTGCGCAATAAAATCAAAGTCAATTCCCTCAGACCTGTGCAGAATGCATGAACTCAATATATAATCAAGATTAATTAACGTTTCAAAAATATATTTCATTTATTCAATAACATATAATTATATATAATCAACAACAGATCAAATATTCTTTCACACATCTCACTCATTCATAATTAAATCAATTTATTATAATAATGTATCATCAGAACTACTTAAAAACCTCCCAAAGTAAAGGGACGGGGTAAAGGGGAATAACTCTGAATAATCCCGTAGTGAAACATTTTATTTAATGTAAACAGGATTTCATAAACACCTTTGTGAACTGAGTTAAATTACTCAATTGTTCACTATGGTTACCAATCAGAACTAAATAAATACGTTTATAAATTCTAATAATTACCAAAGTGAACGTACAGTTAAATTACTGTTTTATTCACATGGTTATCCCTACTCTAAGTATGAATATTTTTAAATTAAAACAACTAGACCACAGTGTATATCACAGTTTATTTACTGCCTTGATATACGTATGGTTAATATTTACTAAGTCCTTTGTCAAAAATTCCAAACAGAAAAATATGACTAAAAATAATCAAAAGTTTACTTAAAATAATTATATTACTCTAAATCAATCTTAAAAAGATTTCCCAACCAAAAATAAGTTAAATCTCAATGAATTTCAATCAAATAAAAAAAATCAATCAATTCCCGAAAAATATCCTACTCAAATAAATAATCACGGAAATAATAACTACAGTTAAATCACTGCATCAGTTATTATCCCTACGATTTAAATAAATAAAAGCCTAATCCTAAACAAAAATAATTAAAAAAAAAAAACTAAAAAAAAAAAAAATGGAACTTAAAACGTACTAACTAATCTCCTAAAACCGATGGTAAAAAGTGTCTGCCAAATGTCAAACCTCTATATTTATACACAATACCAAACGATAGTCAAATATCGCGGCAACATCGATAATCAATCATGTGATCAAAATCGTGACATGTGATAGGATAAAACAACAAAAAAAATCGCTTTTGGAAAAGCGCCACCTAACGTGTGATACAAGATATCGTTGTAAATAAGTGATAAACTTATCAATATTCAACATCTTCTAATTCTCCGTATGTAATACAAAGTAAAACAAAATAATAATTAAATCATCAAGTATTATACGTATTAAACAACTTTCAATCATTAATTTCAATCATACACAATGTTAATCCAACTATTGACCACATCAAACAATCAACATTCGACCGTAAATTTATCGACTACATTAACATTGAGCTAACCGGAAGCGAGCAGACAGAAAAACATGTGGCTGCACATACACTTCGCATTCAGGCCAAACAGCACAGGTAACATTAATTAACTTTGATTATTATCCTTCAGAATCATACAGTCAATCTGATTGGTTTAGAGCAGGTCACGTGCAGGGAGACAACTCGTGATGTCTCCCTCACGCGCAGGGTGACAACTGTTATCTCCCTTCAGGTGACAATGAAATAGCGTAAGCGAGCATGCAGGGTTACAACTGTGTTGTCGCCCTTTGAATAAAACTACAGTGGTTTAAGCGAGATAACTCCTATTTATAAGTACAATGGCTAAATATGCGGGATCGGTAAACAATAAATTCTAACGATGACGTCAAAGTTGTCTGTTGACATATTTTGAAAGTATGGAATCGGAGCAGAGTAGAAGGAAACAAGAGGTTTGATTACTATTTTCTACTCCATCTAATTGATAATTAGATTCTTCAGGATAAAAAAACTATTATGGACTGTTTAGAAGGGAGACATCACCAATTATCATTAGGGTTGTCACCCTCGGGCGCACGCGCCCTCGGGTGACAACCCTACTCAGACCTGATAATTGGTGATGTCTCCCTTCTAAACAGTCCATAATTGTATATTAAACGTAACAACACATTAAGTACAACAAAATAATATCATTCATAACAACAATCAAGACGAAACAAAAGATAAAATAGGATTCATGCACAGTCCGAAATTCCTCGACATTGTTTACGTATACTGATACACTATAACTCGTATTCTAGATTTCTACATCATGTCATAACACAAACATATTATTCAAAAACAAGCTGTTTACATCTTATTAACTTAATTATAAACACTGGGTGTATGAAAACTACATAAACCCGCTCCAAATCACTACAATGTACAATATCATATTACAGTCATTGACTCTATTCGATAGAAAAATCAACCCGCTCCAAGTACGTACAAAGATAGCAAAATATTACAGTCATTGATAGTAGTATGGTTTAGTAACCGCTGTCATGGATGAAACAATAAGCTACACTGTGTCATATAACATTATTGTAAAAATAAAAAGCATAAGGGGGGGGGGGTACATTCATTACAGTTACCTTTGTAAGTAATGTAATCAGCACATATGCACTGGAAGGAATACTCCGGACTCATTGGTGGAACACTCGGGTTGGACGGTGCATTGTTGTTGCATTGTTGGCAGTTTGCACGAAGAGCGTTTATGTCCGGCGTGATCCCTGGCCAAAATACAGATGTCTCAGCTCTAGCTAACATTTATGTAACTCCTTAGTGGGCTGAATGTAAGGCATCTAGGACTTTCTTCCTGAGTGATTGCGGGATAATTACAAGGTCCTTGTACAGAATAACCCCATCAGTGGTCGACAAGCCCTCACGGTACTGGAAATACTGTCATAGAGATTATGGTACTCATGACGATGCCGTGGCATTCCACTCTCTATGATTTCACTCAGTAGTAGCATATCTTGGTCACTGGCTGTAGGTACAGGAACTCTGTCCCAGGTCACCGACTTCAGGCCAAGGGCGTTCAGTTATGCAACAGCAGTTGAAATCATGTTTTCATCTCTTCCACTTCTCTGGATGTATTGAGAATTTGAATTTTCCAGATGAAGGTTCTCTAGAAGTCTATGATTGGTCCATTGCGCAACATCATCAGGTAAGAAAAGTTTCTCCGCATCACTGATAGGATGGCGTGAAAGACAGTCTGTAGCACGGTGTTTGACACCAGGGATATGGACCATACGGAATCTGTATCATAGTGTTTTCTCCTTCAAGTTTCTCAAAAGATTGTTTGAAATGTCTTTAAGAGATCGGTTACTAAAGATCTTGAGAAGTGGTTTATGGTCAACCGCAAGGGTTAAGTCCTTTCATCCTAATATGAAGTATCTGGCCTTGTCCAGGAAATCTGCAACTGTTAGTGCTTCACCCTCCCTAGGTGTATAGCGAGACTCCGATGGATTAGTGAATCTGCTGCCGACAAGTATGATCTTCCATCCAGATGTACAGCAAAAAGGTTTTGTTTTCTCACATGTACTGTGTTTCTGAAGGAACGATTTGAGTGATTTACATGATTTAGACCAGTCAGTTGCCAAATATGTGGGTCTATCAGGGTCAAAGATGCCAACACCGTCTTCTGTTTCTCTTACAATCTGTGCTTTTAAATCTTCAAATAATGTCTGAAGGTGTTCATTCAGCTGAAAAGCAGTTCCTGGCTTCAAGAGATGCCGAAATGGTAACATGCGCTTAGCCTTACTGAAGGCGTATGAAACCTGATTTAAAAGGTCAAACCATGAACGCACATTCGTTTTGTCTTTTGGTGTGGGGAATTCTATGATAGCTTGTAGGTATCCCTAACAGGGTCTGACTTCATCTCGGTTGATTTCAAAGCCGGCAAACTCGACCTGAAGAGCCTGGAAGTCAACTGTTCGTCTGGGCTGTCCATTTTTATTAGCACATATGACCA